CTTAACCCTAACTGACTTCAGAGACTCAGGGATTGACTTGATACCATCAGCGAATAATCTTGTCGACTTCGAATTTTCGGATGATATAGTGCTGCATCCTAGGTGAAGACGCTGACAAAATACAGTAGAGTCTTCAGAACATCTTGAACAGTGACCGATTTTCTAATGTTTGGCATGCGATTCTCTCTTGTTGTCAAGTTAAGGTGATGCCGTTCCAGGACTGGACTGCATTGACTCCTAGCTTAAAGACAGGTGAGCGTGAAGTGGAGGGGTGTGTTGACCACTTCACTTATTTGGGGAGTTGCATCAGCCAACGCCAGAGGGTTGATCTCTAACGAATTTCAAACATGGATACATAAGGCACGTTTGGCATATGCCAACTTAAGCCATCTCTGGCTTAGAAGAGGTGATATCCGGCTGTTTGACCAACGGATGTGTGTACGACTCAGCTGTCTGCTGCATTCTCCTTTATGGCTGTGAGTCATGGCTATTGAAAGTGGAAGACATTAGAAGCCTGGCTAGCTAGCCAGCTAGCTGTCTATGATCATAGCTGCCAAGATTTTATCTCCCGTGTTACGTGGTATTATAAGGTGAGTGTTAATCGCGATAGATAAGTAGACTGCTTGACAGACAGCTAATCAATATTATGTGACCTTTTTTGTCGCGATTATTGGTTAATTTAATGTAACTCTCATCACGCGATATAACCTTGAGTGTTCTTTGTTTTCTCTCACTCTATTTGTGTGTACATGTAATCAATAAACTGTTCATTTTGTTCATTCTCTCAATACTGTTCGGTTTTAGAAACAGATCAAGTTTAAGTCAAGTCACTCTGTTTTTAACTATAGTCAAGCCAAGACTCTGTGTCGTCAGTACTGAGGAAGGGCTAAATCTGTAGGTAAAATTAATCCTACAGTGAGCAGTATTGAGGTTAGGCTTCGGTTCAGTGCTAGGTGAGGAGGAGAGATCAATCCGCGAGGTGGTTGTAAAGTTACACTGTTTGAGTGATATGGTTAGCAAATGTGTTACTTATGCTTAGCCATCAATCGCTTCATCAGTCATTGAAATCCACAACAGTAAGTTTAAGGCAGTCACGTCCAGAGGTGAGGACTGATAGTCTGGTTGGGGCCCATGGAACAGTAAAAACCAATGGCTGAAGACAATTGGTGATATGGCTCAAAATCGTCGTTGTCATTGGCTGGCGCAGATGTATCCACTCCTTGTGATCTATGATATACACTAAAATTTTATTGTTCTTGCATATTACTATTCTTTTTGTTTCATATTTCTAATTATTATCTCATATTTGAATCTCTCTCCACTCAGTCCTATTGCTTTATGTGCTACATGGAGAGAGGGAGAGAACTTTTCTTTTTAACCTTTTCTGTTTACAGCTTGATTCCACACTGTATTTTTGGTACAAGTGTGGAGTTTTCAGCATGGATATCGGTAGCCCAAATTTTGCAGGCCGACCATAGATATCATGTGTGCGTCAGCAGGGGATCGAACCTCGGACCATGTGCATGGTAGGCGAGAGCCCTAACCACTGTGCCACCGACGCAGATCTTTGTAGAGTTATATGTTGAAATCAATCAATCAGTCAGTCAGTCAGTCACATGTTATTTGGTAAATTATATTAATTTTCTTAATCGGACCTATCGGAGCCTGAAGCTGACAAAGTTTACCTCTGATAATATTTGGCTGGTTTATTAAATGACACCCTAATTCTAGCCTCAATAAGAATCCTACATAGGACAACTGAGGAACCATCTTCATACAGCAGTAGTACATGTCCTTTGGACTTTGCATTATTTTCAATGATTAAAGATAACCATTTTGAAACTTCAAAAGGTTGACTGTTGAATAAAGAATATTCTTTTCGATAACATCATTATCAGGTTCTAAAGTTATATATCCATTATTATAATGACAGAATGATCGTTATTGACAACGTAAGTGGTTCTTTTTCAAAAAGAGTAACATCGAATCATTTAGAAGTGAATTCCAAAAGTTATTTGCAATTAGATTGTTAATAGATTATAGTCCAAAAAAATATATTGTGTGTATGTGTGTGTGTGGTAATATGTAAAATTGTGATACTAAACTGAACAGTGCAAGTGGAAAGCAACAAGTTTACAGAAGAAGCGTCAAAGATAAGCGTTTATGTGAACACAGAAAAAACAGAGGTGACGATTCCTGGTCAACGGCAACAGCAACAACAACAGAAAACAATCAGCATAAATAGGAGGAACCTCAAAGAAACAACCTCATTTACCTACCGATCTAAGAAGAGTCGTTTCAACTACAGGCGGACAGAACTGACGAGGATATCAAAGCGAGGATTGGGAAGGCAAGGCAAGCTTTCATTTCTCTCAAGTCTATGTGGAAGTCAACAGTACTCAGCATTAAAAATAAGATCCTGATTTTCAATTCCAACGTGAAGTCAGTGCTACTTTATGGATCAGAGACTTGGCGCGTCATGAAGAGCACCTCAAACAACAAACTACAGACATTCATCAACAGCTGTCTTCACTGAAGATCAGATGTCTAGGCAGAAGAGATCAGTAACAGGGATCTCTGACAATGAGCGAACCAACTCAGGATGGACCTATTGTGCAACAAATATGCAGGAAAAAATGGAGGTGGATTGGAGAAAACAAACCACCAAGTGAGTGATATCACAAGACAGGCCATCACTCGATTGGAACCCAAACGGGAAGCGGCGAGCTGGTCATCAGCGCGAGGCTGCAGTGACATGGAGAAGGAGGTTATGTGAAGAGGAGATGTTAGCATATGGGCAGATGTGGAGCCAGGTGAAAACGCTGGCAGAGAACCGAACGCAATGGAGATGTCCGGCTGAAGCCCTATGTTTCTCTAGGAACTAAAGGAAACAATAATAACAATAAAGTGAGCACCAATATTACAAAGTAAATGATTATAAATGACAACGAATGTACAGCAATAAATTCTCATAAGTCTCATGTTCATGTTAAATTCCATTCATATTGATCATAAATTTCATATGGATGAATGGTCATGTCAAGGACGGCGGGGTAGAGAAAAAGGGTGTTTTGCGGTTGAAATTTAGCTGCGTTGTATGTGTGTCAGTGTGTTAGTTATTTGCAATTAGATTGTTAATAGATCATAATGCCTTGTTCAAATTTATCAAAGGGACTAATTGTTTTAAAGATCATAGTCCAAAATATATTGTGTGTATGTGGTATTATGAATTGTTGTTAACGTACACACTGACACACATACAACGCAGCTAAATTTCAACCGCAAAACACCCTTTTTCTCTACCCCCCATCCTTGACATGACCATTCATCCATATGAAATTTATGATCAATATGAATGGAATTTAACATGAACATGAGACTTATGAGAATTTATTGCTGTACATTCGTTGTCATTCATAATCATTTACTTTGTAATATTGGTGCTCACTTTATTGTTATTATTGTTTCCTTTAGTTCCTAGAGAAACATAGGGCTTCAGCCGGACATCTCCATTGCGTTCGGTTCTCTGCCAGCGTTTTCACCTGGCTTTTGGCGAAAGGAGAGGCGAAGTAGTCCGGTTTATACATTCATGTAACGATGGCCAGGGTAAGGAAATTGGCTGTACAAATTTCTTCTGAACACACAAGTTTGGCTTCTTCGGGTGGATTCCTACGGCTTCAGCTATATGTAGAAGACGAACTGGTAAAGCAAAATTAAGATTAGTACGAGTAGCCAATTTCCTTACCTTGGCCATCGTTACATGATTGCATAAACCGGACTACTTCATCCCCCTCCCCCTAAAATATTTTTTCCTTTTAAAAAACTATAAAAACTATAATTGTCCAAGTTGTTTTATTTTTCTGACTACTTCATCTTTAATTACGTGTTATCCTTGTAAAAATTATTTTATTCTTATGACCACTTCAACCTTAGTTACAAATTATCATTCTCCAAATTGTTTTATTTTCTTTCACAATCTGTTACGTAATCAACCTGTGTACACGCTTACTCCTTAATTGCTCTTCATTTTTCCTATATTATACATTATGCAATCCACTTGTTGTAACCATTTCCACCTTTTAATCATATAAATTAGTTTTCTTCGTTAATTATCACCCCATTGACATTTTGACACTGACTAATTATTGTTAACAAGCATATCGCCACTTGATTGGTAAACTGTTGTGTATTGTAATAAAAATGCTATGCATCATATGTTGGAGTAGACCCAGAGTGAGATGAGGATCTAATTGAAAAGTAAATATTTCTTCGCTCAATCTTTCTGTTTTCTAAAGGACTAGATTTTTTATACGAGTTCGACCATGGATTAATATCAGTTAGAGAACCATTGAAAACCATCTGCGAGCACTGGACAGCCAGCTGTTTCATCAGCCTAGTTTGGAATCATCGGCAGCACGCAACCACACCGTGGGGTTCGAACCCAAGATCTTCCGGTTACAAGGCGATATTGATCCCTGATCAAATTCGTATAAATAAATCTAATCCTTACAAACCAAACTCTTGAAAGTTAATCTGATACTCGCTAGTGACTTGCTACTGGAGAGAGTTGCTTGGAGTTCTTTTGAGAAGTCGTGGCTAATGAAGTCCATCCAGTCACATGTGAGGATGGAGTTCCCGCCGATAAAACTAGTTGGTGGTAGTGCTAAATATCACGAATTGGTAGAAGTTAGAATTCACAGACTGCCCATGGGATTGGGTCTCAGTGGCTGAATGGTATACGAGCTAGCTTGCCTTGTAACCGGAATGTCCTGGGTTAGAACCCTGGCAGTGGGTGCGTACTTCCGATGATTCCCAAACTAGGCTGATGAAACAGCTGGCTCTCCAGTACTCGCTGTTGCTGGTTTTCAATGGTTCTCTCTCTCCCTCTCTCTTTCTCTAACTGATTTTAATTCGTGGTCAAACTCGTATATATACATAATCTGTTTGTTGTTTTTGTTTTTTATTTATTCAAAAATAAAAATTTAAACTCTCACTTTTAGATTGAAAAACTTTCTATGTCCACTGCTACTAGTCAAGAGAATAAATTAGCAAAAATTAATGGTCAAATTTCAGCACTTTGTGAATTGAATCAACTTCTTACTAAAAATGAACAGTTGACTAAAGAAATTCAATCTATCTATCAAGATTATTTGTGTGTCTCAAGCTTTATCATCAATGGATCGAATCAGTTGAAGAAAAAAACATCACCATTACATTCATTAGATTCAATTTACAATGATCAAGATGTTCTTGTTGAAGAGGCAATGAATCACCGCATCCCTTCACCTCAAACCATATCAGCTTCACTCCTTGAATCATCATTTCTAACGTCATCACAAAGAGATGTCAATAAATTACAGAACTATCTACCATTGTCTATAATACGTGATTCTACGGAGCTACTGAGTACAGATATCGATGTACACAGAGACATACCAGTTACTCCTTCTGGTATTAATTATTCTAAAACTATTACTTCTAGTAATAATGATGAAGAAAATAATCATAATGATAAAGTAAGAGATCAAAAAAGATGAGACATGAATTAATTAAATATGAATGGAAATTAATTGCAAAGATAACAGATCGTCTATTGTTCATTACATTTGTGCTAATAACGTTCATCTGTTATGCTACTATATTTGTATGGCCTTTATTATATGGACCTTCGTATCATCACCATTCTCATCATCATCATCGTCACAGAAACTCACGAAAAATCGATTGAATTCACACATATATACATGCTTATAACCACCCCACCTCACAATCTACTCCCTTCCAGTCCATACACTTCAGCTTGACATTGTACATATATGTATTGTTGTTTGATGCATTACAAAATCCAATTTTCTTTTCAGTATTATATGTATCCTTAAGTTCCAGTTGGAGCATAACATTTCAGTGTAGCTCATCTGTAGTATTCTATTCTCTGTTGACTTTCTTATTTAGCTCCACAACCGCCCTCATCATGCGATCTCCTCCAATAACACTGCTGAAAATATCTTTGATGTTAACATATAAGACCCTAACTGAATGAGCACACCAAATAGAATCTTGATCCAACCAATCACATTTAGAAAAAGATATATTGAGGCGAAAAGGAAAACAGCGTGTTTAGAAAAGTGCAAAAATTTACTAAAATAGGATACTCGTTCTTCAACTTATTGTTCAAATAACTTCCAGTTTCGTTTAGCAGTGTCTAGACTCATTCGTACGAATTTTCATATACAGTAGAGGGTCTCAAGGTTTAGCTTTTAAGTGGAGGTACTAACCTCCACTCACGAGTAACCTTCCCTCTTTTTTGGGGGGTGGGGTGGCGTGAAGCAGTTGATGGCGAGCATTCTCCCACTGAACGACTCATGCAGAGGGTTCGGCTGAAGTTAGCAATTATTTCTCAACAGCAATAATAACCAAAGTACTTGATTTGATTCTTTCTTACTCTTCTTTTTTCGTCTAAATTTTAACTTTTTCCAATATTATCCCTCATTATAAAGGGATGATTGTATAATTTGACTTCTACGGAATTAGTACAAGGTAAAATATGAAAACAAGGAGAGAGAGAAAGAATGATACTTAATTATTGAGTCTTACTCATGTTTATCCCATTAGTCTTTGTTTTTTGTCGAAATTTTTATTCCTATAATCATTATCACATACTTTCAAATGATAGATTTCTACTTCTCAGCATTTCACTATGAACTAAAATCAAGTCTTTTATAGTTTAGTACATTTATGTGTAGTTTGTTTGTTTTCATTTCTGTTCTAAATATTCTATTAAATGTTCAATGGAACAATTGTGAAACATTTGTACTTTTTCTTTTCGTTTTTTTTTGACTATAGACTATTATAATTTCATACATTTATTCCCCTTAATGAATTTGAACAAAGCAAGAACTACAGTTTTAGCAGAATAAAGTGGTACCATCATTATTTATTTCGTTGCCTTCTCGTCAGCTGCTTACATGGCAAAGACATTATCAAATATATCTACAACAACAATTTTGACATGCTTGCACAGAGTTCATATTAAACAAAAAACCAATCGATCAATATACGCATACACTAAAAATATATACATATATAAATATGCAATATTAAACACTATTCCGAAAAATAATAATCATACACAATGGAAACTTTTAGCGTTTCGCATTCGGAAGAAAGAGAGGTGAAAATATCCAGTTACTAGGGTAAAGAAAGACTTATAACGGCTTCTTTCTGGACGCATAAATCAGGTTTCAGGCGTTTGATTGAAATTGCTTCAGCAAACTTAAGGAGAATTGAGCTCTTTTGCCTATTCATAATTTTGAACGATCTTGCAACGTCGACCTCATGACCTGTGTCAAGGAGATATCTTGCGATCGTACTGTTTGAAGCATTTGTTCCCTTTAGACGTAAGCTTTTTGGTATATGTTCAGGAAATCGTAGGTATGCCCTTCTTCTTTCTGTCCTCCCAATGTAACTGCTACCGCAGATACATGTAAATTTGTATACACACAGTTGGAGTTAACATGAGAAGGATATCTATCGATTTTTGATTGATCCAAAGAGCAAGTTGTTCGATAGACGGGAACGAGCTTAGCTGCAGGATAGGCTATGGCTAGTCATGTACTCAGCCTTCTGTTGATCATCGCTGCAATGTTTTCACCTTCATAATCAAGCTGAAAGTAGATTGTCTCTTTACCCACTGTGATTTGTTTTACATTTGTGACTTCAGATCTTCGATACTTGTTGATGAACCTTTGAGGGTACCCATTGCTCTTCGATATCTTTTCAAGGAACTCAAACTCCTCCTCTAATTTCTCTATAGAGCATATTCTCCTCGATCTATAGTGCAGAGTCTTGACTAGACCACGTTTAAAGCTATTTAGACTATTATGATTTCTGTGCGTCGGTGGCACAGTGGTTAGGACTCTCGCCGACCATGCACATGACCCGAAGTTCGATCCCCTGCCGACGCACACATGATATCTATGGTCGGTCTGCAAAATTTGGGCTCCCGATATCCATGGTGAAAACTACATACTTGTACCGAAAATATAGTGTGGAATCAAGCTGTAAATCAAAAAAAAAAAATAGAATTTGTTCAATAGAAAAATAAAAATAATCGTAAGGTGTTTTTGTGCCCACATATATAACAGACGCCATAAATCAGATATTCCAATGCGTGTAAAAAAATCGATAAAACAAGCATTTAAACAGCCAATCATACATAACATCTATCTTCCTTTAAGTATGTAAAATTCACATTCGAATCGGAATATGAACAAGGAGAATTAGCAATAATTTTAGATTGTAAAATAAAACGAATAGAAGAAGGTAAACTGCACGCTAAAGTGTTTATAAAACACCAACGCATTCTAATAGATATTACTTAGACTTTAATTCGTCTCATCCGTTATCTGTCTGTGAAGGCACGCTTAGTTAAGTGTCTGTCTAACAAACCGAGCAGTTGCCCTAAGTAGTACAACAAAAGACCCAAATGATGAAATAAAGCAGAGAGAAGAGGCGTTGGTGTTGAATAACTATCCTATAAAATTCATTAGGAAGATCAGAAAAGGCTAAGAGCAAACTATGATAATTGTGAAACTAGTAATGATAACGCAAATAAGAGAGAATATAGGGCATCTACTGTTAAACCATATAAGGAAGGGACAACTGAGACCCTACGTAGGATTCTGAATAAAACAGAAATTAGAGTGGCACTCAAACGTAAAAACTCACTCAGAGACAAGCTCTGTAGGTTAAAGGACCCTGTCGGTCGACCCATTTAGACAAAATAATATAATTTACAAAATACCTTGCAATGACTGTGAGGTCGACTATTATATAGGTCAAACTAGCAGGTCAGAGGTAATCAGGTTGTCGGAACGTAAGTAATTTAGAAAAATGCTCAGCAACTGCACTACATGCACTGACACACAGCCATACAAAAGGGTGGCGGAGGGTTAAGATTCTAGGAAGTAATCTATGTAGGTGGAGAGAAAGATTGATTGCAGAATCCTGGTTCATTGAGTCTACACCCAACACATGCAGCAGAAATGACTCAATGCAAATACCAGAAATATGGAAGATATTATTACTGCCAGTCAAATCAGAGGAGGATAATAAATAGTCTTAAAATTCTATTCCAATTCAAGCATATCACAGCATTCTAATAAGTTACTTATTTTGAGTACAAAAACACTCGTCTTATTTCCCGTCTGACTGTAATTGATCAATAACACTCATATAATTATTTCTGAATGTATAATATCCTAGATTGCTTTTTATTTAAATATATAGTCGATTCCACACATATATAAATGAAGAAAACAGTTGTGTGAATAGTACCTTGATATGATTATGAGCAGTAAATAATTTGTGCTCGAAACGTGGTCATCAGTTAATATTACCGTGTGACATTGTATGACTTATCAAAATAAAATATTATCCATAATAGACTTATACTCTACCAAAGTGCCCAAGTTTTATACTTACATGTAATATTGTTGTGAGAGCTGTCTGCAAGATAAAAATTGTAGACAACAATTTACATCAATGTTTACGTTCCAAATCAGGGTCATGAGAAAAAACAACAACAAAGTTTAACCTCGAAGAACTCACCAACCAGTCAGAGCAGACGTAACGTGTGCAAATACGATTCACAGATATATCGTTTAATTTTCGAAGAAACGGCCACAAACATATGACAGAATAATCTTCATCAAGAAAACAACCATTCAGAAGAGGTTGCTTCTCCGCTAACAATAACGCTGCTAAATAATACACATAAAAATCTATAGATACCTCGTGATTTTCCCACTAAACGGTCTGTTGTCTGGCCCTTGTCTTCTCTTGTTACAATACGAAATACTACTAATAAGAGTAATAATTGCTTTATTCTGTACAGTGTTTCAAAATGTACAGAATTTTCAGGGAAAATATTAATTAGCAGAAGGTCCTGTGACACAGTAACACTTGTTTGACACGAAGCTCAAACCAATTCATCAATGATATCTGTTCTTTGTCGTCTTTGAGGAATGCACAACATTTAGTTGAATCCCAGTTGTAAAAACTGTCCAAGAGTACATTTTAACAAACCCAATGACACAACTTAGGAACAGTTGTCTTATGTACTAGGATATGCTGTCACCCACAACTATGCTTTTCTTCAAGTTTACTAGGAACGCTTGAGTCAGGAGTTTGTGATGAATACTCATGACAGTAAATAATACCATAAGAGGTCATATTTTATCAGATTAAAACGAAATGGACAGGATAAATTATATGCAATGTCTACTGATGGAGGTTTTTGGGTAGCCGAAGTTTTAAGCAGACCTCCGTAAAAATTCACGCATGACATGGTACTTGAGAAAATTCAAATTATAATTGACTGCCAACATTCTACCCATCCAGGTAGACGGAAATAATTATGAGGTTAATTCGTTTTGGCAACCCTTGAACTGAATTCCCTTATTAACTTAGATCACGTGATAATAATTTGAGTTACTCCGAAAGAGTACTTATGATA